GCTTATAATGATGGTAAAGGCACAATTTCGAAATTGGGATATTGGACTGAAATGGTTAAAATAACTATGAAAGTAATAGAGAAATTACGCAATAAAGTGAATACATATCTTAAAATAAAAGGTAGATCAACTTATCTCAAAATGGCTTATAAAGAAGTTCTATTTTCAGTAGTATTTACAGGTAAGAAAAAATATTTCGGAATTGAGCATAAAGATAAGCCAAATTTTGGACCAACAAAAAAACTTTTTATTAGAGGTATCGATACAGTGAAGCAAGGTAAGTCCCAACTTTTCAAAACTATAGGAAATCGAATTATGTGGGGTGCAATGGATATTAACAATAATCAAACACTCCATAAGATTGTTGAAGAGGTTCTTAAAGAGGCTATAACCAATCCCAATCAATGGGATTTTGATCAATTTATAGAAACCGATGCATGGAAACCTAATATAGATAACAAACATGACTAGTGATTTATAGGACGGATGAAAGAAAAATATAAAAACAAGATTCCTGATCCAGGAGAACACTTTAGTTATGTAATGGTTTATCCTGATAAAGTTTTTGATTTATCTGGTTTTAAACTCACTATAAGAAAGGCTGATCAAATGGAATTCGCAGATATTGCAAAAGAATTAAATAGAAAATTGGATCTATCCCATTACTTCAAAAATACTATTAATGGACTTTGTGCCCGATTTATTATGTATGATAAAAAATATAAACCACTATCTATTGACAAAATCATGAAGATTACTGATTCAGATGAGAAATATAAACAGATTGATACATATGCTCAAAATAAGGCCAAGAAATGGCTCGAGTCATATATCAAGGAGATAAATGTAATAGATAGAATCGCTCCTAAAATAATATCTAATCGTGGATATGCTTACAAACACGCTTACAAGAATGCAATCAAAATCGCACAATCTATATTATATCAGAAGGTAGGTAATACCTACGAGATATTTCATGGGGAATGGCTTAGTTTTGAGGATTTTAAAGCAACCAATAATGTCGAGAGATTATGAGAAAAGTTCATAGAGTATGCCAGAGCATATACTGAAAACGATAATCTCTTGATAAGTGAAGAAATAAAAAAATCAATATACTCTGATTTTACAAAACATCTAAATATACTTATCCCAATTATCGAGAAATATGATGTTTTCTTTTATAAATTAGTATATCATATGCGATATAAAGAGCATATAACAATCCCAGATAAAATTGGCCAACCCGAGACTATGAGAAAAAATGAGATGATTACTAAACAACCTACCTTATCTCATATATCGAAAACAGATCAACTAGCCCTTGAGAGTTTACTAAATACATGGAACAAGGCAGTCAGCTCACTATAAATATATCTTTATATTACTATCATATATATTTTTTTGTACATAAATAATATCGAAGTTTAAATAGATAGTCACAGTTACCCAATCTACATACCTCGCAACCGCTCATTTTTTCTCTCAAATCCCCATGTGCATCTCACAAACCACACAACTGCAATAATTAACAGAGCAAGAAAAATATATGCTGATAGCGGTGATATTAAAGTGTTTGCCACAGCAGGAAGAGGCAAAGCCTCGAGACTAGATCTCATTGCTTCTATTCCTCCTACTGAAATCTGAGATTGGGGTATAATATCCTCACTAATTTCGTTAATGTTACTTTTCTCATTTATCTTAGGGCTAATCTCAGTACCAACTTTTGATAGTTTGGTAATCTTATTATTAGTTTGTGCTAAGATATCATTATCAATTTTTCCAGCTTGATTCAATTTTTTTCTGTGTCCAAAATATTGACTAAGATCTTTAATAGGTTCACTAACTACAGAAATATTACTAGAATTCGATATATTTTTTTGATATCTCCACCAATTACAGGTTTTGATATAGTCTTCGATTTCAGACACTCAAGCTCATTGATCTTCGATGAGACATAGTCTCGAGGCTTCGCCTCTTCCAATTCGCTCTTTATATTTTCTAATTCGCTATTTTGGATTTGAGGAACGCGATCTCAGTTTCTTTTTTCAATGAGTCGTTTTGAATCGAAATCACATCTTTCTGGGCTGAAGACAACTTACTTTCCAATATCTTGATCATAGACTCAAGTGGTTTGATTTTCTTGGATTTTGTAACATTCTCAGCTTTGAATTCAGCAATAAAAATATCCTTTTGTGCATTATGAGAAATAAGATTAGTATTTTCATTTTGTAGTTGCTTATGTTCATTAATGACCTGTAAAGTGTGGGTGCGTAATTTTTGGATCTCAGTATTATTTCGTAATGAATCCCGATTCCACCCCTTTCTTTCCCAATCAAAAGCCTTCATTTGTTTTATGTATTTATCCTGTAATTTTTCGCTAAGCTTGTTAATTTCAGCTTTGGATTTGATAGCATCATGTATTTTTTTTTCTAGCTCTTCTTCACATATACTACCAAGTTGATGGCCTTTAATATTTTGTAATGTATGTATATTAGCCAACATATTAGCATCATGTGCTTGCTCTACTAAATAATAGATAATATATAAAACATGAATAAGATGCAAAAGTAAAATATATTTCCAGTAAATATTATTTTTTATATATCTGCATATTTTTAAATATAATAAAACATTTCGAAACATTCTAAGATATTCTGGAATATTTGTATATTTTTCATTATATATCAACTACTATATGTATAACTAAT